TGGAGCCGATGACACAAGCGCAAGCGCAGGGAGCAGCTGGTAGCTGCTAAAGGGAAGCACTGTCCGTGCTCCAGCCCCATGCGCGCGGCTAGGGCGTGAGCCAGGCCAGGGCATCCCTCTCCCAGTGGTCCTCCTGGCACTTTCCAGGCTCTCCAAGCATCTGAGCTCTTGCTTGTGCCTTAAATAGAAAATCTTCCCTACTTTTCTCTAACCCTTCTCTCTCCAGACCGAGGAGTCTCCTGGCTGGCCTGCAGTGCAGAGTACCCCTGCCTCCCTGCTCCTCTCTTCTGCAAACCTTCACAGGAGCCTGCATAGTGAGAGCTAACCATCCTGGCCTGGTGGTTTCTTCATAAATAAGGAATGCTCATAAACTGCTTCCATTTCTGAAGACCTAGCAGGCAGGAGGAGTTAATACAGGGACGCTATTTCCATTTTCTGTAGTGTTATTGCATTATTCATCTCACCAACTCCAAGGGCCAGGAAGACAGAGGGGAAAGCGAGGCCAAGGGCGATGGATGGACAAAGACAACATGGCACTTTGAGAGCTTTCCTTGGTCGACACCCTGGACAGCAGGTGCTGCACTAGGAGCCCTGCCTGCCCCTGTATTTCATGGCTTTATGCTGGAGAGAGAGGAGCAGTCTCCTCCACCCCTGCTCCATGCAGCGATGCCGCAAAGCCCAAGGGCTGCCTATCTGGGTCATGCTCCACATAGCATCCACGGGGCCTTGCTGGGCTCCCAGGGGCTGCTGTGTCTCTCTGATCAAGGGCAGAGCTTGTCTGCACTCTCCTATTCTTATCCCTTGCAGGTGGGATGGGCAGTGGCTGGATTTGCCTTGGCCCTGAGAGAGGGGTGAGTCCTTTGCTGCCCTCCAGCCACCAGGTGGATAGCACTGATTCCCAGATACCCTTACTCATCCTGTAATCTTCTAGCCACTAACTGGCTCTGAGAGGATGCCAAGGGCCTCTCCTTCTGAAAGAGCTGCTTTCAGATCTTTCTGCCCAGGGCTGCTATATCTCTCCTCTCCAGCAGTTAGCAGGTTAGTTGTTGATGGGGACGGAGTGCTGCATGGGGGCTCTGCTGTCACATTAGGAGCAGGAACCACAAAACATCACCCTGCAGTGATTCATGAGCAGCAGGAAGAGGGAGAACAATTCTCTTCCCACTTTTGGAGGCATGATGAGGGCTGGAGATAAATCTTCCTCTTTGTATTCCTGCCCCATACCCTTCCTCTCCTTTGGAGGCATTCAGGAGGGGACCTTCCTTCGTCTCAGTGTTAAGTGTGATCTGCAGGCTGGCACCCTGGCTCATGGACAGCAGCCAGGCTGCAATCTGCAGTGAGGCTCCATGCAGCCAAGCGAACTTCCATAAGGAGCCTCCTGCAAACACCTAGGCAGGAAGCTGTCTGCTAGTGCTGCCCAGAAACTGCACACTCACGCTTGCCTCCACAGCACCACCAGCCAGAGATTTAAAGGGAGCTGCAGTCATTTGCAGTGTGTCTTGGGTATCTGCATGCCTTCAGAAGCATTTTTGAGATTGAATCCTCTTGCTTCCTACCCTCCTGTAGCTGGGGGCTGGAGAGGAGACACATATCACAGACATGTGCAGCTTAGTGTGTGTCTGTGGCACATGTGTGTGCACATTGCTGCATGTTGTGCTTTGATGCAGACCTTCTG